TGATTTTTTTTCATCCTTCACTTTATCATTATATCAGTGTGTATGAGCAAACAAATATTGAAAGTCAATTTTCCAATGCGTCGTATGATTCCAAAATATCTCCCCTATCGATGCTAGTGCAACATATAAACAAAAATCCATAAATTCTCTCCTCTTTTATGTACATCTTGTTAAGTGTGAATCTGCACGTCAAGAACAGAGTAATGAAAATTGCCATTTTTTACACACCATGATAAGGCGAGTTATTTTTCTTCGCACATTATCCACGTGTTTCATAAGAGAAAGGTAAGCCTAAATATGTAATCCTTCATTTCTTCATTGATGATTTTAGTGAAGTAATTCGTAATTTTGTTTGTATGCGCGATGATAAGTAAAAGTATCTTTGTTCTAAGTAGGACACAAAAAAATCGTGAGAATGACAAATAATTGATGAAAGATCGATGATTTGCATTGCTTAATGATTATCTGAATCTGTAATTATACTAAACCAGGGAAGAATTTCTATTGATATCTTTTAGATTATTATCGTAAAGTAAAACGCAGAAGAATAACGCATCTATTTGAGTGATTTCATCCATAAATGGCTTCAAGTGAAAGTCCTCGTACACGACTAATCACCAATCCAAGAACAAAAACGAACTACACTGAACCACGCGAGACAATAGCGTTATCATCGACGATGATACCTTTGAATTCTCTGTCTAAAAGATCATTAATGAAGAATGATGAAACTGTTCCTCAAGAAAAACGTCATCAAAAATCGAAGAAATCCCGACACACGGACAAGACTGATATGCTTACAGATGTCAGTCGTCGGTTAACCAAGCGCAAACAATTACAAAAAAAATGGTGAGTTATTTACTATTACCTCATATTTTACGTATTTGGTGAATTGTAGCTCTGTGGTGAACGATATCATGTGTTTTGTTGCATTGTCAGGCATTGTTTTGATGGTGTGTGAAAATGAACTAACTTTTGTTTCGCTCGATCATCATGAAACATATGCCAGTTGGTTGATCAAACTGATTATTACAATCTCTACTATTATCCTGATTGTTCTTATTATGTATTATCATTATTTAGATATGATTCTTTATAATGTGAATAACTCAATTCAGCATTGGTATGTGGCATTAACTCGTTCAAGAATCGTCCAAATCATCGTGGAAATTTTGATCTGTGTGATTCATCCGTTTCCACGTGGATTTGCTGCCCATAGTAGTTTCATATCTGAAATAAACCATGTCAACTCAACAGTGTCTGTGTCAACCTCGATCCCGTTATCATTTATACCCGTGGATGTCGCACTTGGGTTGCCTAGTAAGTAGAGAGCTTCAGTTTGAAATACGTATTATGTCGTTTGGATATATTAACAGTGTTTGCTCGATTATATTTATTGTGTCGTGTAATTACCTTCCATTCACGTTTTCTGCAAAATTCATCGTCACGATCTCTCGGTTATCTGAATAAAGTTCCGATCAATTTTTTCTTTATCATTAAAGCTTATCTCGAACAATCACCCGCATTTTGTTTGGTAATTTTTTTTATACTAATGCTTTGTATTGGAAGTTGGTCAATGCGAGCATGTAACTATACGACTACTCATCAACATTTACCCATAGCGAATGCAATATGGCTATTTCTGACCTTATTTACTACTGTCGGTAAGTTTTATACATGATCTTCTCAAATAGAAGCATATGGCTTTTTTTTCTCTAGGTTATGGCGATCTGATACCTTCCACATACTGTGGACGAGGTAGGTTCAAGATTATCAACTCAGATAAATTCTTGTCTAACACTATCTAATTTCAATGAAGTGTAAGATAGAAAATAGACTCCCTTGGGGGTCAATAGAGGTGTCAATAATAAATTCAACCGAACGACAAAGCGACGTTTATCCTTGAGCGTCAATAGTGTGCTTGAGAAACTGAGATCATAGAAGATAATTCTAATTAAAATCACTCTTGATCCATTGTCAAGAGGAAACTTTAGATAGTTTTATTTATTTTGATTCATCTATTTTGTTCTTAAGAAGAAAAGCAATAAAATCAATCAATTTAATCTTTGATTATTATTAGCTGTGGCTACGATAACTGCTAGCATTGGTGTGATGACCAGTGCTTTTTTGATTGCCGTGCTCTCACAAAAACTGCTACTCAGTCGATGGGAAAAATACATCTACAATTTCGTTCTCAATATCGAATTGGCCAAAGCACAGAAATACCATGCTGCTAATATTATTAAAAATGCAATGAAATCTTGGCGACTGACTAGAAGTGACAAGCAACGATCCATCGAGTATGCGAATGCTCAACGAAAACTTTTCGAAGAAGTATCTAGTATTCAACAAATCAAACAAACAAAACGGCAATTAGCAGATAATGTTATTGGTCCTGCTGAATTGATGATTGCTCATCGTGATACAAGCACAAGAAGCTTAGAAATAGAAGCAAAAGTGGCTTCCATGACATCAAAAATCGATCAGGTCGAAAATATGCTGAAAGATATGAAGGGCGCAATACAAGCTATGGATAATAGACTGAATCTCTTGCTGGACAGATTCACATCAACATGAACCGAAAAGAACATATGAAGAGAAACAGACTAGTTTACTTAGCACATGATACAAAAGTTCTTTATTTATTTTTTTGTATAAAGATACAAGGATTGATAACTAAGCTAATTAACCGTAGATGGAATATTAATCGGGGCGCGGGTGTGGGTGTGCTTAAATCAATTGGAAAGTAGATCGACACATATGTCTATTGTACAAATCAATTCGCTGTTTCTAATTCTTGCTTTTGAATAATCAATCAAATCGAAAAGAAAGAAACGATAGAATAATAGTAATAATATTGTCCTTGAACTATAAGGCATGGTGAAAAAAAATACACAAAAGAAAAAAACAGAAGAGAAAAAAGCGAAGAAAAAAATAAATTCTCAATAGAAAAAAATCGAATGGAAATTATTTTGAGAAGCAAAATGTCGAAAGAAAAATATTGAGAAAACAAAAAATTATTAACATGAGCATCTTGACCAATAATAAAAACGATAAGACGCTCATGCAGTGTGATTGACATTATAAATAAATTAACCAAATGTCCAAGGTATAAATGAAAATAATCAATCATTTTTTTTTCTTTTCCACACAATATTTTTCGCGACACCATAGAGTAACACATTAAAGAGTTCATCAAGAGTAATATCATCATTTTGATAAGCAAATATACAATCACAATCTTTTATTGTATTGCAGTGTGGGTGTGGACCTTCTCTTCAATAACATCTACATTCACATCTTGAATCTGATCACCATCTTCATTTGGAATAAATTGCATATTTTACTATTTCAACTTCATTTGAGCATGTGCCAGAGATTCATTTCTTCGATTAAGTTCACAGGAACTGTTGAACTTGAACGGTCATATACCAAATAGCTGGTGATTTTACGCACCTATAGTAGTGTTCATGACCAAGATTTCCAAGGAACCTTCTACATTTAGTAAATAAATGTACGATAACTTGTTATTTTTTTTTTAAATATTTCTTCAAGTGAAACCTTCGACTATTTCGCGATTCTTTTCTACCGAATGACGAACGCTTTCATTAAAAACGAGAAAGAATGAAAAAAGTTAGATTTTATCAAAATAAAGATAATTACTCTCGAGGAATTTCTACTCTCTAGCTGAATGGCATCGTAAATATATATATTGAACTTTCAAAAATGTGCTGGAGATAATGTCAAATATAACAAAGGTACTTGCTATTCAGAATCCGAAGAATTGTGACGCGCACAAGATGTCTGGAAAAGAGTGTGACACAATGACCAAGTACGCTGTGATAATAAACGTTAGACATCATCTACAATGACAAAATTTCCATGACTTAGCGTTGAAAGATGCTCAGCAATTTATGGGATCTTTCTATTGTCTCTGCTGCTTGCCATATCCAATGTGACTGTTACATTCGATCAGCAAAACGAGAAAACATGAACAAGACAAAGATTGCTGATCAACAACAACATGGTCATTTTTTTCCAAAAATATATTTCTCAATGTATTCTTTATTCATAATGAAGAGTTGCCCCCTTGCGACATGCTCTCGATACAGTCAATTTGTAATTCAAAGAAAAATACATGAAAAAAATATAAATTAAATAGATCAAATAGATATCTTCTTCATTTCTTTTGATGATAATAATTGCTCTTTTTTTTATCAACTTGATGAGCTAAATACTCATATAAATTCGAAATACTCGGGTCTTCTTGACTGTGGACATTTTTCTTCAATCGATTATTGTGCTTATTTTTAATCAAATTTCATCGATTATAAACGATGAAAAGTACAATCATCAAAGATAATACAGTCATTTTGGATTATCCTACGGGACTTTTTCTACATGGGAAATAGATCATAGACTAATTATTAAAGATAAGAGTAATCTGACCGTGTTTATTATTCACCAGTTCATATATAATTCAGTTCAAATCCTTTTCTCTAGTTGATTCAACCTATGGACACATAAATATCATCAGATCAATGATCGAATGATATGAAAAGCGAAAATATTAATAATCATTATCCGTTGATAATAATTAAAAGGTTTTTTTCTAAAACTTATAGCAAATAATACATAATTCTTTTTCTTCCATGTGATCTTCAATTTTTCGATAAATATCTGAGAAAGTCGAAACTAATTCATCGATCAGGTTTTGCAAGATGACAATCGTATTTGCTCTGGTTTTTCTACTTGTTTTGGTACATGTAAGAACTAATATTTTAGAATGTTCGCCCTCGAAAACAGAAGTAGAACGTTCTCTTATTGATGCTTACATAGCAGGTGTAGCAACAGTGGTGGTGAATGCCACTTATATTCTTTATGAACAAGGGTTTGGTTCAACGAAGCCTCCGATTTTTTGTGAAAATCTTCCAGTTGATCCGATCAAATCGATCTTTCTCTTAGTTTCCATCTCGAAAACATTCATCCCTGTTTCTGCAATGCAACTAGTTGAACAGCATCTTCTCGATCTCGATGCCAACCTCAATCACTACCTTGCTCCAGGAATGAGAGTTCATCATCCATTATATCCAAATCATACTATTACCATGAGACATATTCTTTCACCTACATCGGGTATTGGGTCAAATTTTGCCGAAGATCTAACACATTTCTCGTCTAATGATGATTTCACCAAAACCATCAGGAATAGAGCAACATTATTCAACTGTTGGTGCCAGTTTAGCTACCCTGATTATCGAACAAATTATTCATAGATCATTTGAACAATATGTGCATGAAAAAATTCTTGAACCATAGGGTACTACTAGAAAACACGCAAGTTATCGATTAAGCGATTTTCAAGAGAGAAAAAATGATCTGGTCGAACATTATATATGTAATACGTCATGGCTTGAAACAATGCAAAGCAGATTACCAGAACTGAATTTTACCAAAGTGAGTTCGTTATTATACATGCAATTTTTCTGTAAATGTATAGAATCAATGCAATATTCTGATAGTGACAGAGGAAATATCTAGTGTCATATGTATGTTAAGAGAATTACATCAGTTTGAATATTGTATCGAGACCTTTCAAATAGCGTGAATCCACTTTTGACTCATTTTATTCTTATCGGTAAAATAGATATATATATTGCCGTAAGAATAAGATACATGTCTTTAATTACAAGTGTCGATTAACTTGTAAAGATCATTGATGCAATATCATCGAACATTTCTTCTGAATATTATTCATTGAAGATGGCTTTTTATTAGGTCAGTAATGATTCGGACTGGTTTAAAGTCCCTTTTTTTTTGTTAATGCTAATTATTCAGCTGGTCTTCTTCGCACATTAGCTCATATATTATCGATTTATCTTCAATCATTTCTCAATCGTTTTCCATCAGTTTTTGCTAATTCCTCAGCGGTTGATGAAATGATTCAAGTTATTCCTGATGAAAATACTCAAGTTCAATTCGATTTAATATGGAACTGGCAAACGTTTCGAGGTCGACGTTTGATCGGACATTAAGGATCGTCGGCAGGTGTCACAGCTACAATGTTAGCTAATGAAAAACGAACTATAGGCGTAGTTATACTCTTCAATGGTGATATGAGCATATCTAATGAAGTATCAACGAAGGTTTATGAAGCGCTTAATAGTTTGTCAGTACATTTATTGGATTGCTATGAATAAGAGTTGGTGTGAATATTTTCGAACCCACAAACAACTACACACCCAAATCCACTCCCATAGAAGACTTATACTATTATGAATTTTTCGAGATATTCTGATATTGATGTTTATTGAAATTGATTATTATAATTCCATTGATTTTGTTTCAGCAACCATTAACGATACATGTTCAGTTAATTTTGAAATTAATTCTTTATTTTCTTTTACTTTCTCTCAATCATTTGGAATTGATTAAGGATCTTAAATTTAAAAAAAAAGTCTTTGTGCCAAATACAAAAAATTTTTCAATTTATCATGATCTCTGTCTTCAATATTAGTTGTCATTTTTTCAATCTGGATTTCTTTCTAGATATATTACAAAAGATATTAAAAAAATAATAATAATTAAACTAACCTGTTGTGATCTTGTTGATATTGACTTAAGATGCACTCGCAGACATCAAAACCAGTATATTTACACTAAAATAACTTTATTTGACATGAATTTCAAAAACGTTAGTGAAGTTAAGGTCAGTCGCATAATAAAACATACTTTCAAGGATGATCACTACAAAAAAAAGTGATTTTCAACTCTTGTTATTTGTCAACTTCATGAAGAGAGAATCAAGTCACTTGCTTCTTGAAAGTATGAAATGCGAGTTTGGATGAGTCTTTCATGCAGACCTATACCTACATTCATATTCTTCGTGTAGTACTCGCTCTTCTCAGAATGAATTGCTTTTTAATATTATAGCTAGATAGATTTGTGTAATACATGCTCGTAGTGAAAATGTCTGGATATGCATTTTAAGTTTACAAACATTGCACGTCTTAACAATTTATAGCTGGTTTTATTAGATCTCAACTGTTCATTAAATGTTTTTAAAACAATCTAAAGTACAGTGGTATCTCGAGATCAAATAAAGGAGAAGCATGCTGGTGGCCATCATGCTGGTCTATCTTTGGTTGAAGTGAGAAATTCTACATGAAATTAGACAAAGGAAAAACATCTGCTTTCAAAAACCTAAAATTTTGTGTGAAGCGATAAATTCTTTGAATCGATAAAATTATAGACCTTCATATAGGCCAACAAGATTCAATAAAATCATAAAACATTCTAGAGTCATTGCTGTGTCATGAAACTATTGGTATTGCAAAAATTGTAGTATAAATGATGATCAGATGTTGGATTTTCTTAGATCTATGTAACAACGTGGAATTTCATCTGATTTTGTTTGACTTCGGTGACTCCATAGGATTACATGGTATGTTACAGGAATTTGGAAAAACAAAACCGTATGAAGTATCTCGGAGTCAACTTTTTTCTTCTTGCGCTAAACTATTTTTTGTGCCATCTAATTTATTTTCAATTGATTTAGTTTGTTCATAGATCTTCTTGAAGGTATTATAGAGAACAACAAAAATGTTAAGCATCTTTCTTCAAAAAGTCATCATTACTCGATTTGCAAGAGATATTCATAATCAATATTCTTACAATACAGAGTTACACAAGCAAGCATTTAATGTTCTTAGTAAAATATCGACATATTCATACACTCTGTTTAAATTGCGACGAGAGCTCGAACATTTTTTTTTTCGCTAGTTTCAGTACTTATCAATTTAATTCATCCTATTCGAAATATATCACACATTCTTTTTGTCTCAGTCGGCCTAGATAATCGATTTTTTCGCTTAAAATATAGTTATTTCATTTTTGATCTCCAATATGTTGACATACAAAAAAAGAAGAAATAATGATTTTGTAGTTCTTTGAAAGTTCTATCGGCTAATAGCATTTACCATTTTCACAAAACCACTAACTGTTCAGAAGGAAAATTCTTCCTTGTTTCTCTTTATTCAGAAACCACAATTTTCGAACAACTCTGTAGCTTCACGTTGTAAGGTTTTGACAATAGAATCACATTATTTTGAAGCAAAAAATGATTGATACAGCAACTTTCTTCGGTGGGTGAGCTAGGTTGAAAAGGATACCTTGTTTCCTATTTTCTGATGAAGCTAATCGGAATCTTGCCATTGTGCAGAAAAAGTAGGTTTCAACTAACTTCATTATGTACCAAAAGGAAAAGGACTCTTTTAAAAGCATCACAACTAACACATTAGTCTAACGTTAGTGCATGGAAACTGCTCAAAAACAAAAAGAAAATTTTCTCATTGAAAATAGTGAGGCGAAAGTCGATGATTAGAAATCTCTGCAGAAATATCTCTATAGGCTTTTACTTTTGTATTATACAATACAGCACTCAATACAATTTCTGTAGACAATTTCAAGACGAATTCATTGAAAATGACATTCGTCTTATAGCAATAACTAAGCGAGAGGTATAATCAAAACACATGTGCTCAATTTTATCTGGGCCATCAGGTATATAGCTTTTCCACATGCAACTGTTGAAATCTGATAAAACAGACATTGTTGAGTTACTTTATGTGAGCTGGTTAACTTCCAACGACGTAAGTGAAGTTAACATCGTATTCGAGTATTTCCAGCACCTATTCATCCAGGATGTGTTCTAAATAGAATTTGACGGGCTCTATCGAATAGTGAGATTAGATTCACAATATCTCAAATCAATCTTTCATAAATTGAAGCTTGCTAGTTTTTTCTGCCGTCCATAGGAAATCCTGGAGTAATTTCAGCACCAGTTTGAAATTATGGTTTGAGATATCCTAAATCTGACTTCATCATTTGATAGAGCATGTTGACTTTTACCTAGAACATATTCTGGACCGATCAGTGCTGCAAATACTCGAATCCAGTGCTAACTTCATCTCCGTTTCCAAAGAAGTTCTTTTAGAGAAAATAGAAATGTATGCAATGTGTGACTCATAATTATGCTGAAGTCAGAAAAAATAATTGACGGTAATATTAACTTTTGCTAAAATCAAGAGCGATATAGCCACGGCTGCCCAATCTTCTGGTTTTTACCTTCTCAAACTGATTACATGATATGTAAATATCTTACCATATTCCCATCTTATGTGGTTGCTCAGCAAGGGTACAAAGCAGAACATTTGACAACTCTGAATATAGCATCAAAGCCACAAAGCCAGAAGCTGCCACAAATTCGATTATCATGAGAACAGTTAACGGAGAGAAATAACAAGTATATGGGTTTAAGATCACAACAGCCGCCATCTAACGAACCAAAATGCTGGATAGATATATGTTTTCCTCAAATGTGAAGGAGAAAACATCTTATTCACAGAGAATGGCACATTTTTCCCTACGACATCAATCGAATCATCTGTTTTGGCTTGATGAACAGTGGATCTTTATATACAATTTGATATGCCTAGTTTTTCTCTACAAAAATGTTTTCTTTATTTATCAAAACAAGTAGAGTCACTTAATCCGCGAGAGCCTTTTGAAAACGAGTTAAGAAATGACATTAATAATAGCAATTGACTGTAATAAACTTTTGATACAATAAAAGTAGAAACCATTAACTACTTTTTGCCCTCACTATCAACAACTGACAATAAGCGAAGGATGATAGGAAGAAAAGTAACGTAATGACGAGGCAGAAGCCAAACGAAGTTTTCATAGGTTTTCTGTATCACGAATTTCTACAGAAATACAATCGAACACGTAGAATGTAAATTCACTAGACTCATCTAAAGTGTCTTCACAGACTGAAAGTGAATATCATTAAAAGAATATACTGATTACAAATTCAATATATTTGGTGCCAATTCATGAAGGAGATTTGTTTGGAATTGATTGCGACGTGTGGCATTTGTTTTCATTGAGGGTATATAGGTGTGTTTAAAAAGAAGATACACATTCGCATCCACACCATAGAACCACATGCAAAAGAGGTCACGCAAAGTTCTGCTCTGTTTGAAAGCAAAAGCTACACAATTAAAATAACCTTCAATTTGTAGGTTGTAGATCTTCTCACAATGCGTCCTGTGATGTATTTCATTTCTTTTTTTCTAAAATGTATTAGGCGATAAAAACATGAAATGAGAAACAAAAGGAATTCCTTGTGCATGTAGAAAAATAGATCTTTTGGCAGGAATGTACACCCACACCCGCATTCTAAAAGAATGAGTTGGAGTTCACTTTTCTCAAAGATGATCAAGAGAACATTCTACTCAAATAGTATTGCACATTTTTCATTAATTTGTCATTCTTATAATCCATCTTGAGTTGATGAAAAGTGAATATTTTATATACAATTTAGTGCATCTTGACTTTCTTTAAAAAACAGAACACTTTATTGCTCAAAATAAAAAGGAGTCATTAAATTCATTGAGTTTCTTTGATCATTAGATAAAGGAACGGCAATGATTACTCAAAATCAAATGACAATAAAAAGAGCAATTGCTTGCAATAAACTTCTGATACAATAAAAGTAGAAATCATTAACTATTTTCTTCATTCATTCTCAACAACCGATAATAAGCGAGTGATGATAGGAAGAAAAGTTACAAAAGGCGACGCAGCAACCAAACAGCGTATTCATAATTTTTCTCCATCACAAATTTCTCCAGAAACACAATGGAACATGCAGAATGTAAATTCATTAGATTCATCTAAAGTGCCTTCACAGACTGAAAGTGAGTATCATTAAAAGGAAATACTGATTACAAATCCAATGTATTTGGTTTTAATTCATGAACAAGAATATGCTTGAAATCGACTATTGATTTTCTTTACACATATAAAATCAGACCTGTTCATCATTCGAAAAAATAGCTCTTTTGATAAACAACATAAGAGAGTTATTTGAACTATTTATTGTCAAGTATTTCAGTTACGGCTCAAACTTTTTCACTACACATCATGATTTCGTGTTTTATTATGTGATATTTCGTTTCTTATGAACACTCTTTGATTTATAACCAACATTGATAGGGGCTTTGAAATTTTCAATATTCGATTTAGGATTCGAAGATCTTCGGTCAAGGCAAATATGGTATTTAGAGAAATAGTAGTTTATATTTGAAAGACAGACAGAAGCGATTGGTGCAAATGAGTTTATGATAATGGTGGTGAATGCCTCAACTAAACAATTTCGATTTATTTCATCACATTTGAAAGTGACAGAAGTAAGCATTTTTCCCATTTCCACGCTCCACAAAAGACCAATAGCGTTTCGTCTGTTAATACACATTTCAGTGAATTCAGAACAGACTGACACTTGTGAATAAAGTTCATCATTTTATATCACTCATAAAGCTGCCAATAATACAGGAGCTCAAGTACTCTTAAACGCCTATTCAGCTAGTTCAACAGTAGAACAAAGTACCATTTCATTTTGATAAAAATACATTGTAGGTAAACAACGGCAATCATGTCGATTTGATTGGGCTAAATCGTCATGGACACGATGGATACAAATACCACTACTGCTATGGATAACGGATATTCTCTCCTTGGGTAATAAACGTACACTTGCTGAAGACGACCTTAGTGATCTTTCTGTTAATGACAAGTGTTCACACTTGTTGAACAGAGTGAATCAGTATAGTTCTAGATGGCAAGGTACATGGCATTTATTCAAACGAATATTTATTAAAGATTTTCTAATAAGCATATTGCTCGTTTTTCCATTTATTATTGCTCGTATTGCACAGCCATTACTTATCCGTCAAATTGTTCTCTACATTAAAGATCAATCAGGATTATCTGCTTACGTTGGTTATCTATATGCTATTGCACTTTGCATTTCTGTCATTATACAAGCGATTATTCATCAACAAATCTTCTTTATCAATACTCGCGCAGGTATGCGGATTCGCAATACATTATCTTCTACCATCTATAAGCATTTGCTGACTATCAATACTGCAGCTCTTTACAAGACTACTGCTGCTCAGATGATTAATTTAGTAGCAAATGATGCCGGTAAATTTGAAGAATTTAGCATGCTTCTGCATGCCTTCGTGCTGGCACCTTTGGAAGCCCTTGTAACGTTTGGTCTCATTTGGTGGAACATTGGTTTACCAACACTATTCGGTTATGCAGTACTGCTTTTATTGGTACATATTCAGCTCATTTTTAGTAGACAATTTAGTCGATACCGAAAGACCACAATGGCATGTACAGACAATCGTGTGCAAACAATTAATGAACTTGTCAGTGGATGCCAAATTATTAAAATGTACAATTGGGAAAAAGCCATGGAGAAACGAGTACGTGAAACACGCCGACATGAGCTTTCGAATATTTACAAAGCAAGCTGTTTGAGAGCTCTTAATATTGCTCTCTCTTTCTCAGCGTTACCTTTGATTTGTCTTGCTACATTCGGTGGTAGTTGGCTAATGGGCCGAACTTTGCTTCCAGAAAATATTTTCGCAACACTAGCCTTCTTTGCTATGGTACGAATTCCCGTAACATTTACGCTGCCGTACGCAATCGAAAAATTTAGCGAAGCTCGTGTTTCTGCAAGAAGAATCGATCAATTTATGCAAGTTGACATTTTGTTGAATAAACGTGAAAAAGTGAAAACCGACAGCGGGGATCATGTAATCAAAATGACAAATGCATCATTTTCTTGGAAAGATATTCCTTCTTTGTTTTCTCTTAATCTCAAAATCAAAAGGGGTGACTTAGTTGGAGTTAAAGGTGCCATCGGTACTGGTAAGTCAACCTTACTGGCTGCTATTCTCGGTGAGATCGATCTTGTCAATGGAAAACTGCAGCTATATGTTGATTCTATTTCGTACGCTCCACAATCAGCGTGGATATTTGCTGACACTATTCGAGCTAACATTCTTCTGAACAAACCAATAGATGAAGAGCGTTACAAGAAAGTAATCAAGGCATGTTGCCTTGACATCGATCTGCAGAATTTTGGTGAAGTTGGCGATTTATTGATGATTGGTGATTGGTGATAAAGGTGTCAATTTGAGTGGAGGACAAAAAGCTCGAATATCCCTTGCTCGTTGTCTTTACGCTGATGCTGACTTATATTTACTTGATGATCCATTTGCTGCTGTTGATCCAAAGGTGGCAAAGAAAATATTTGATCAATGCATTGGCCCTCGTAGTCTTCTTCGTGGAAAGACTCGCATATTGGTTACACATCAGACGCATTTCTTAGTTGAAGCAGATCAAATGATGGCCTTGACGGATGGTCACATCGATGAATTACATATTGAACAACGGTCTACAACTGAGCCCTCGAATGATACATCAGAAGCAGATTCATATAATGACAAGCAGATGGATTGGACACTAAACACTGCTACAACTGATATGAATTCAATTGTAAAGAATGAGATATCATTTGACGGTGCCATCAAATGGAGTGTTTGGCTAACACTGTTTACTTCACCACCTTTACGTTGGTTTGGTTTTCTTCTTTTGATATTTTTTATGCTTGGCAATGAAGTACTGTACGACTTTACAAATAGTTGGCTTGCTCTATGGTCTAGTAAAGATAAAACTGAACAACGATCATCATTTTATGCTCACATTTATCTTGGAGTTATAATTGCTACATTGTTCATTGCATTAATACGAGTTGGATTTAGCTTCTATATCATGTTGCGTGGTTCAACTTATCTTCACAATAGAATGCTTAAAGGTATCTTGTATACTTCGTTACGTTTCTTCGAAAGTAATCCAAGTGGACGAATATTGAATCGAGCAAGCAAAGATCAGCAAGTGTTAGATGAATCGTTACCTCTGACTTTAATTGATACTATTCAATATTTACTAATGACTCTAGGTTCTATCATAATTATTGGAATGAACAACCCATGGGTACTTCTAATTCTCATTCTTTTAGTTCCCACAGTTTTGTGGCTTCGTAGGTTTTACATGCGTTCGAGTCGTCAACTCAAACGGCTCGAAAGTGTAACACGTAGTCCAATTTATTCACTGTTCTCCTCGTCATTAGACGGACTCACCAGTATTCGTGCGTTTGACGTTCAATGCGATTTTTTGAATATGTTCATCGATAGAATCGATACTAATTCACGAGCTTACTTCATTCTCTTTACCGCTGCGCGTTGGTTCGGTTTACGACTCGATCTTATCACATCCTTACTCACTTTGGTTACTGCTATTCTTGCAGTAGCATTGCGCCATCAAATGGATCCATCAGCGGCAGCTCTCAGTATTAGTTATTGTATTAGTTTAACAGGTCTATTTCAATGGGCTATACGACAATCAGCCGAAGCTGAAAATTTCATGACCAGCGCAGAACGTATTCATGAATATGGTCAACTAGTACCAGAAAGCCATTCGAACAGTAATAAAAGTGATGTCCTTATTCAACCAGCAGATGATTGGCCTTCTCGTGGTATTATCGAATTTAAAGATTACACTTTTCGCTATCGACCAGAGCTCGATCCTGTTCTAAAAAATCTTAACCTACGAATTGAATCTAAAGAAAAGATTGGAATTATCGGTCGGACAGGTATGATTGCTTCACTTATGGTAAAATATGTGAAGAGCATTCCTAATGATGGTTGTTATATTTATATTTCTCTGTTTAAATCGGACTTCTTATGACATGCTTTTCTATTCTCAACACGTAAAAATACCTATAACCGTTTTGATATTTGGGCGCTTTCCCAGCTACTGCTAATACTTCGAAATATATATTTAAAGTTGTGAAATTGTTCTTTGATATAAAGGCGAGTGAGATCAAAAGAAGATAAGCAGGCCCAAAGAGATAAGTGTGATAAGACTCACAAATGTTGACACTGTAAATAGTGGCAAATTCTTCATGTAGGAATCTCATGGTCTAAAAAACTTGTTTGAGAGTCCTAAAAATTCTTTTTACAAGAAGACATTTCTAAACAGTGCACTGCTTTAAAAAAAAAGAATCGATTATGCGGTGTGAGAGGCGAGTCATATACTCCATATACTTTTTAAATCATTTTGTATGACTATGTGAGTGCTCTCGAGAGATAAGATATACAGTGTCGAGGAATCATATTGCACTATGATATCATAGAATGATTGATTAATACTGAAATATCAATCGGTGTCCAAATAGTAAGTGCATACCATATGAGACTAATTGTACGAGTAGCTGATTTTGAACGTTTACTTGGAGCGATTCATTGATTAGGAACTGCATTTTTCGAAAAGAGTATTAGATGAAGGCACTGTATTCCCAAAGGACTTGAAATATTGGAATGTGTGATTATCCTCTTGACGACATTCGTTTAGCAATGTCTTTTTTTCGTCTAGGTGCCGGAAAATCATCACTTCTTCAAGCTCTCTTTCGACTTGTTGATCAGTCAGCAATCAACGGAACCATTCTTATCGACGACATCGATATTGGACGTCTTTCACTCGATTATCTTCGTTCTCATCTAAGTGTTATTCCACAAGTACCCATACTCTTCTGTGGAACACTTCGATACAATATTGATCCATTTCAGCGATACTCAGATGAAGAATGTGTTGCAGCACTTGAAGCTGTTCAACTCAAACAATTGGTGCGTAGCCACCCCTATGGCCTCCATCTGCTGGTAGCTGAGTCTGGTGCTAATTTGAGTGCTGGTGAACGCCAATTGATTTGTGTAGCTCGAGCCATTCTAAAGAGGAGCCATATATTGCTGATTGATGAGGCTACAGCAAATGTTGATCATGCCACTGACAGGATGATTCAAGAGGTGATTGCTGATAAGTTTGGTGATCGTACCATATTAACGATTGCACATCGATTGAATACAGTGGCTAATAGTGATCGCATTCTTATGTTACAACAGGGAGAAGTTGCCTACTTCGATGTGCCTAATAATATTAATCTAACTTAATATGATCGTGAAAAAAATGTAGCCTTAACAGCAAAAATATCATTGCTAATTGTTTTGATCTAGAAAGCTATTTCCCACTCGCTATCTTCGTTTATATATGTTAATGTTGGTATCATTCTTTTGTTATTGAAGGTATTGAAAATACAGCATGCTGAGACTATAGCAAGAATCTGATCGTGCATATCAGTGCCATCGATGACTGACTGTTGGATTATAATCCAGATAGAATTCATTGACCCTGCTGTCTATGTAGAATATTGAATGCAAGCTGTCCACCTGAACAATGAATGAAGAAAGGCAGGTGAGACAATAATCGAGAAGATACTCTGAAATAAAAAGGTACTATACGGAATCAAATATAGTTTCGTGCGCTCTACAGACCTTAGAAAGGGTTTCGTACATTGTAGGGAACTTGAAAAAGGTTTCGAAATTTGCAACGAAATCGAAACCTTTTTGAGGTTTCGTATGATACTTTTGAAATCTTTAAAAAATATTTCTACAGCTTTGACAATCATTTTGAACCTATCTTGAGTTTTTACGAAATCTTAAAAAGGTTTCGATTTCGTTGCAAAAAACGTTCCGTACGGTACCGTTTTTTTTTCAGCGTAGAGTTACCGTTTAAGATAGTTTCATATTTTTTAACCAAAACAACGGCAAAAGACAAAGAGGACATGGTTTCGATAGATTTCTAACTGGTTTGAAGGAGACTTCGAAATCGAATGTGATAATGATTATGTTTCATCTTTCAAAATTAGAACCAGATAAATACGCCACAAAAGTTAAGACTTATTCAGGCTTTATTGTTTCAATATGAGTAGGTCTTTGTTTAAAAAAAAATTTCGGGTACACAATGATATTTGTTTAATTCTCAGTCAATTGAGGTGATGAATCACAGGATGTAGACCATCTGTTGCATTATATCTCGACCACGGCAATACACGTAATTCAAATCAAGTTATTCATGCTTATGGAATCGATAGACGTAGTTCACACTGAACTTGCCGATTCTCACCCGTGTCGTTGACTGCGATTTCCTTCTTCTTCACTCGAATCATATCTAGTATCTAACGTCACTTGTGCATTTGTCATATGCATTGTGATATTCAGTTGTGTAACATTCAAGGACTTTTAATGGAACTTTCATTCATGAAGAATCTGGGGTAGATTGTTCGCTCAATGATGCATGGCTCAGCGACTAGTTTGCACTTCACATTCGTCAAATGTAATATGGGGATCACTGTCTATGAGGCAATAGGCAAACCATTTTGACTATCTTTCAACTGTTTACAGAGAGACAAATCCTAGCCGTCTAAAACAGAATTCAGTTAATCATTGATAATCTTTGGTTCAATGCGTAATGCAATACGCATTGAAATAGCGAATCAAAATTTTTTCTGTACTAGAGCACTGTTAACGTTAGCAGTATATGGTGATCAAATTTTCTCGAGCTTTCTATAGAGTATAATAGTACCATCATCGCTACCCTTGGTATTTATGCGAATGTAAGTAATTGAATGATAGTTCTCTTTGATTTACAATATTAGTTCTTTTCGATTAAATTTATCAAATAGCAATAGATATAGTTCACAGATAAAACAATTTTCGTTTATTTGTGGCTACCATGAGCCTTGCCGATCCATTTTTCGAGCGTAGCTTTTGAACCTTCTTCATAGAGTAGTTTCACAGCGTCCTGTACTGTTTCAACAAATCGTTGGTTGTTGGCCAAATCACCGAAGACTTGTTTTACACTTAGCATTTCAATTGCACTGCGTCTTGTTTCACTGGCTAGCTGCTGTAATTTGAGTTCACTTGCCAAAACATCGTGCAGTGTAATTGGTCTGTTATCCTCATCCATTCCACCAAAATATCGAATCCAAGAACCGACGGCTAATGCACACAAGTATGGAATAACTCCTCGTTTTAACTGTTCAACAATGGTAGGTACGAGATATTTCGGAAATTTGGATGCTCCATCCATACACACTCTCGATAATGTATCTTTCATATGTGGATTTGAGAAGCGTTCAATAAGTGTACGTTTATACATATCGAGATTAACGTTTGGCACTGCGGGTAAAACAGGTGTAACTTCATCATTCATCAGATGTTCGATGTAAGATTGAATATTCTTGTCTAAAATAGTCTCATGAATATATTTATAACCCATCAAATAACCAAGATAGCATATGGCTGTATGAGATGCATTGAGTAGACGCATTTTCATACATTCGTACGCTTCGACATGTTCGGTTAGAAGAACATTGTAAGGCGCATTCGAAAGCAACTCAAGTGGAGGACGTCCATTACAAAATGAATCTTCGATAACCCATTGCATAAATGGTTCTGTTACTACAGGCCATCCATCGGCAATGCCACAGTGAAAATGAACATATTGCCGATCGGTATCGGTCGTAACAGGCGTGATCCGATCGACTAAAACATTCGAAAACACATCAGTATGAAAACAACTGTTCGATATGATGGAAAAAGGACGAAAGGAAAAATATCGAAAGGCAAAGAATAATCATAAGAGGCCGTTATAATAAAATGGTTAAAATATTTTTCTTCTGATGGGCTCATGACGTTAAATGTGTTCGTTCTTTAGGTAAAGATATACGAATTGATCTCTCGTTATTTTAGATATGATGACCACTATTTCTAATACAATTTTATTCACTATTTCTCAAAAATGCAAAAAAATGTGAATATAGACAATTTCATCTTTAAATTGCATAAGACAAGTACAAAAAAGAATCTTATTGATGCTTAGATCTACATTGTATACTGTAAATGTATATACAGATCTTGATGATGTTATCTTAAGCATTAAAGATGATTATTGTCATCCATCTTAACCAGAAGAAATACGAATTCGAATATGGACACAGCTATAAAAACGCGTGCTATAAATGAAAGTACATCTATCCCATAAATTCAGAATGAAAAAGCAGCATGAACCAATCTATCAACATTGCCAGTTGCTGCTTTACCTATTCGGTATGATAATGGTGATATTACCTTTAATGAACTTTTAGAAGGATTATCCTTCGTTGTCGCTAAAATATCAAATAAAAAAATGGACGCCATTATCCTCCATGAAATGACAGTTACCCAAAATGCTCGTGATAATTTATATTTACTTTTCATTTACTTAATAAATTTTGTTACAACTTCATAAACCTTATTTCTTATTCAGATATTTTAACTTTCGATATTCTTCTTTTTGGATAATTTCTATTCGACATTTATCCTTTCTTCCTTTTTCCATCCATTCGACCGTTCTCTCTTTTTGATCAATTCAACTTACCCATAGAGTTCGGAAATGTGACTTTAGTTTGAATGTAATCAAGCAGTTCGATATTGTTGAGTGCTTTAGTAAACTCGAGAATACATCGTTTTGTAACTTCACCATTCTGTTGAACATTGTCACAGGAAAGAACAGTAAATGGAGCTATGTTTGCTTGACGACGACCGTCCAATGCATGCACAAGGAAACCAAATACCGTTCTAGGCGCTTGTGGATGTTGTAAATCATGTTGAATGTCAACATTCTTCAAGTCTAAATCGTAGCCACTTACCGTGATTGTCATGGAAACAATTTTCGTGTCCGGATGCATAAGTACGGCTAGCGTCCTTTCTGGTGCATCTGGTGCGAAAATATAACGAATGAGAGAGCCGATAATTCGAACATTAACATCTGTTTCATTGCAACCTTTGGATACCAATGTATACAAGCCATTTTGTGCCTGCAGTACCGTACTAATAGGTTTATCGATTGAACGAACTCCAACGCCTACAATACCCCATTCAGTTTGACCGTGATCATTTGCTAACACATCCATGTAATATGCTAGATGTGAACGATGAAAATTGCCTACACTCAAATGTACAATGCCATGCTTCAGTTGACTACGATTGTAAGTGGGTAAATGAGTGTGAACTGAATCACATTTGAGTTTGTCCACAATAAGGCGAGTTAAAGTGTTGTCAGCGTCCATTACTACCCAGGACAAATGATAACAATGAAAAAGCAACGATGTACTGATATGGTTATCTCGAAAAAGAGTAAGTTATTTGCACAGCAATGATGTCGATGGTTGTCTCTTCTATATACTGCGATCTTCGTAAACTTTGACAAGTGATATTGTGCATTAACATCGAGTAAACAATCGCATATTTGAGCCTATTTTTCCTGATACTCGGATCGTACATCTGTTGACGCAGTTAGAGCTAGGCGATAAATTTGTTATGGAAAAAACAAAATGCAGTGTTATTTGTGTTGATCTATGTTGTAATCGATTGTTTTTTAATGAAAATTAAACGTTTCGCCATGAGTTTTTTTATGAGTGGTATACTTCCGATTCATCGATGTGAGTAGAGGTGTGGTGGGTGTGAGATGTGAAGTGTGGGTTAAGGGAAGGTTTATCACGGTAGAATGTGTCTTGAAAGAAACCTGGCTTTAGATTCACAAAGTGACAGATAAGTGGAAGAAGCGATGAATCTGATTCATTGTTTAGTTGATGATACAAGGGTGTTTCAACTGTGTAGCGGCGTAGCAATGGTTCAATCTGTCTTGTTCGAGCGTATGGGTTCATCCGTTCATATGCTTTGTCGTACTGAGGATGCTGATGAGTGACTTGTGTATCGATCAAGCGTAGTAAAAATTGTGTGGCTGTGGGTGTGGAAGACGGTGTAGAAGAGTTTCAAAAGCACACTTACACACATATTCGAACTAGTCATTATGAGATAAAACATTGTTGATGGGTAAATGTCACTATCATCCGAAGATTAATTTCAATTGTTGTCGTTGTGACAATTCATCACTCTATTTGACTAATTGTCTAGATGAATTTCATCGAATGACATTAATTCAAAGAGTGTGTGTCATTTGTTTGACATCGCAATAAAGCCATGTTTGAAACCAAAATTCACTTGAACGGGTAAGATAAACATCAAAGATCAATAATCTATTTGGCCATCATCCATTGAAAATAGTCAAGATAGAAACGGACAAAAACGCTTTCTTCGTCTTGGAAAACGATAAAAGGAGTCAAACAGAAAATTGATCTGTCAAAGTTTACTTTGTTCTCTTGCTCCGTTCTCTATCGATTTATCAACATAAAATTCACTATGAATGATGAAAGATGAACAATGGGTCCAATTCTTTTTCCTATTCAATATGCTTGATGGCTCAATCAAAAACATTTTGGTGTAGGTGGATATGTAGTGTGACTGTGGCAATGAGTCTTGTCCTCAATCATACACACCCTGACTGAGCATGTGTCTTATTCAAGAGAGAGTTCGTTACAATTAAGAGATTTCTTTTCAGTTAATAATCAAAAAAATGTTTTTGCTACTATTGACGCATTTCGTCTTAAAGATTAATCAAATTACTGAAGGTATATTTTGAAAGAAAAGAATGTTTGTTTGTATTTTTTGAATTGTAAAGGAATCAATTTGGGTTTGAATACTTTTCTTATCTTAATACAATCTTTGACATTGCACTATCACCATTTATTTTTACCTAGCAAAAAATTACCTTCTGCATGAGAATTGTTCTTTTTATTATTGAAAAATATTTATTTTCAATTGTAATTTTGAACATTTATAAGAGTTCGTATCTCGATTAATTGAGATGACTAAAATAGTTTAGAAATGTAAGTCATCAAGTTTTGACCTATAAAAATAATAATCGATCTTAAATCTCAAAAAAGTCCCGCGATAAATAAGATTAATCGATATTATTGACATATATTCATCAAATAAT